ACACACTCACCACACACTCACTCACACACACACTCTCACTCACCCACACACACTCACTCACACACACTCTCTCACTCACACACATGCACTCACTCACACGCACACACACATACACTCACTCACACACACTCTCGCTCACTCACACGCACACACACACTCACTCACACACTCTCACTGACTCTCACTCACTCAAACATTCACTCACTCACACTCTGTGATACACACTCTAATGAACGCACCCACACTTATTCTCACACACACTCACTACTACACACATACACACTCACTCTCTGATACACACTCACTCTGTGATACACACTCACTCACACATACTCTGATACACACTCACACACTGATGCACACTCACTCACACACACTCACACTGATACATCCTCACTCTGATACACACTCACTCTGATATACACTCACTCACACATGCTCACTCTCTGATACTCACACACTCACTCTCTGATACACATTCACTCATACACATTGATACACACTCACACACGCTCACTCTCTAATGCACACTCACTCACACATTGATACATACTCACACATGTTCACTCTGATACACACTGATACACACTCAATCATACGCTCACTCTCTGATACACACTCACTTTCTGATACACTCACACACACACACTCACTTGATTTCATAGCAGCTGTTTTTGCATGCTCAGAGGCCAGTGAGTGTGAATCAATGAAAGTGTGAGTGTGAATGGTTTTGATGTTGGAGCTCAGTCAGTGCCAAAGGCTTCAGCAGTTGCTTAGAGTATTTCTGTAAAATTTGATGGAAAGTTACAAGACTTGCCTCTCACTCATACTCACTCATTCACTCTCACTCACTCTCACACTTACTCTCATTCACACACTGGCCTCTGAGCATGCAAAAACAGCTGCTATGAAATCAAGGTTGCTTTAATTTTAAAATCTATTCCCCGGAATACTTGGACCAGTGCTTTCAGATCTTACTTTCACATAGACTTTATTTTCCCAACTCACCTTTTAATTTTAAAAAAAGTGGAAAATATCCACTTTAACAGGATTATGGTGACTTTTTTGGTGGAAATATTTTTGGTAAAATATGACCTAGGAAGTGTGGATGTAATGTGTTGGTTCTCAGTCTTTCAGTCAGGATGGTATTTGATGGAGGTGAACAGTGAAGCGTTTCACCCACAAATATACAGTCAATTCACTTTACAGTCTATTCTGTGAAGCACTTTGAGATGTCTAGAAGATGTGATTAGGCATTATATCAAATGCAAGGAGTATTATTAATGTATATTATTAAAAGGATGGGAAGATGAATGGTGCCTAAGAATGTTCACTCTGTTTGTTATCTGCATTTATGCCCAAGGAAGTCCTTGAAAATCCCAGTTGAATTAGACTGGGGGTAGGTGGGCTGATAACCCCTGGTTTTCATGTTGGAGCTCAGTCAGTGCCAAAGACGTCAGCAGCTGCTTATAGTATTTCTGTATAATATGATGGAAAGTTACCAAGACTTGCCTTTAAAACGATTGCCTGGCTAAACCTAGTAGTATTGTAACTCAGAGATTCACCCTCTGCTTTAGAAGGTGATGAGGTTACCTGTCTCTCAATAATGCACTTTTTGAAGGAAGATGTTAACTGTGAATGTTCTTCATGTAGATCTAGTAAAAAAAAGTGTGCTGGTTACTTATTCAAAGATAAATTTAAGAATGAATTCTCTAAATGCGACCCAACTTTTTTTTAAGTTGTTGATGGTGCCCATTTCCTTTGAGATTGACACAATGCATGCGGGAAGTGATTTGCAGCTTTGTGTTATAAGTTTGCAATCAATAAATAAAAGGTTTATCCTACCTGAACTGTTAAAACTATGCTGCTTTATGTCAATAATGCTGGGAGGAGAGAGAAGTGCTTTTGTTCCTGATGTTGTACTGACATGGAGAAGGAAAGCCTAACTTGCTGTTTGTTCTGCATCGTGGTGGGGAACACTCAGTTCTCCTTCCTACTCTCCTCCAGTTTCAGAGGTGGGCTTTGGTCGCATCAAATGTTAATGGTTTTGTTCGATGCATGGTGAATAAAAACAATCTGCTCACAGTTCACTGAAATGGACAAATTGAGAGCTTTGAATGGAGCATCAAGGAACAAGCCCAGTCCACATAATACCCAGCACCCACCTTCTTCAGGATAGTTATTCAGTACTTCAGCCCCATTTATACAACAACTTGCATTCATATAGCAACGCTCATGCAGGGCAGTACCCCAGAACACGTGGATTTATATTGTCCACTTAGTGCAGAATTGTTGGCAAACATGTAGGTTTAACTCATCCTTAATGATGATGCTATTTCTATTTTGATTCCCTGTGACATACCTTTGAATGGAGATATGAGGTACTATAGTTGGATTACTCAGTGTATTAAAAGAAGTATCCAATTCAGTTATATACAATAGCTGCAATGTTTTAATATGGGATTCATTTCTTTCCAAGTATAAAAAGACCTCTTCAGAAATGTGTGAACAATGATGGCATCTATATTCTTTTGTTTTAGGAAATGATACAAACTATTGGTGCTGGAGAGAAGCAATGAAAGCCCTTTGATACAAATTTACAATTTGTGAACAGCAACACTTTCTTGTTATGTGTCACAAATTGTTGTGTTTCTCTTCCAAATTGATATTTGACAATGCTGAACAAACATGGCATTCAATTGGAGAGTAAGAAAGTAACTTGTTGCACTTTGTACCCAACCCATGAACTTGGGCTTGAGAAGTATGTTCGTTCTGTGGAGATGACAAAATATCTGGCTCCTCTTTGACAGATTGCTAACAGTGAAAATTTATCAGCAGACAGTGAATGAAAGTTTAGCCACAAAGACCTTGATCATATCCTATCAAAAATGGCATTTTTAATTTCAGAAAAATCATAACCACCAAAAATGTAACAATAATGCTTACATATTTAGTATCAAATATGTATCATTGGTTATTGCATTTTGAATGGAAGCATTCCTGATGCCCAATACGAAAGTAGTATCTATAATTGTGTTGATTATCTGAAACTACAAAGACACTGGAAGTCAGGCAAAATACGCTCCTTTAACGCATGCTGTTTGTTTTTCAGATTTTCAAAAATTCTTGTCACCTCCGGACCTGCCTGAGGATCGAGTCTTGTATTCCGGGGCTGCTATAATCCCAGGTGACATCCAGTTTTTAATTCTGATTTTTTAATATATTATCATAACCGAGCTCTCCGAGACATTACCCCATTTGAAAGATGCTATAGAAATGCAAGTTGTTATTGTAGAAGTTATTGATTTAGTTGTTGTAGTAGTTATAATTGGATTTACAGGCTGGTTCTGCAGATGATAAAAAGGCCAGACACTGAGTCTTGCCTAGGATCTTTGAGGTAGTAATTACCGTACCGCAAATATTTTAGTAGGTCAAACTTTACCGTATGTCCCAATTTTTCATGTTTTCGTGTGGGCTAATTTTTGCAGATGGCCCACATTGAAAGAAATGGACATCAGTCAATATGAAGTCAATGTTTAAAAAACACTTACCTGTGAGCGTAGGAAGTGCTGGACTGTATATGTGCATATGGCAGCCTCACGAGAACTGTTCTTGCAAGGCTAGCACATCCCTGCACACAGACTGGCTGCTTCAGATAAGGTTTTTTTNAATCACATAAACAATCCAAACCCTTCTCACGAAGCTGGTGCATGCTTTGTAAATGATTACGTGATGATTTATTTTCTCAAGGTCTCTGGCAGTTTTGTGATTTTTGCAGCAATTATTACAGTCGAATCCAGGAAGCAGAAACCACAAATGAGTGTAGACTCTTCCCAATATTGACCTTAAGAATCAACTTTACTAATAGGACCATTAGGTACAAGAGTAGGCTTTGAAGAAGCAGAGAAAATAGGCTTTAACAATTTTTTAAATATGTTAGGAATAGAAATTCTCTCTACAAACCAAGGTGGAGGGAATGTGGGATGCAGAGGGTGGGGGCTGGGTGGCTGAAGGGTGTTGGGTGTCATTCGCATACATGTGGAAATCGACACCGTGTCTGCGGAGGCATACCTACAGTATCTGTAAGCATTCTGTCCACTTTGCATGGGTAGTAATATTTGCATGCAAATAGTAAAAAAAATCTGATCTTGCTTATCTTCTTTGTCTTAATTGTTTTCTTGACAGGTGGCTTTGATCATCAAGGATCTCCACTTGTTATTGTCCCCAGAGCACAGCAGAGTAAACTGGTATCAGATCTGAAGAGTGCTGACATTGTTAAACTTTTCAAATATTTTCTTCACCATCTTAGGTCAGTTCCACATTATATTTTTGATTTTATTATAAACTCTTTTATTCTTCATGATGATTTTAAAATGTAACTTATTAGAAACCCGCGCCCAATCAGACTTTCTACAGAAAACTCCTGATAACTCAACCCTAACTTAACTTGTCACTGCCACTAAAGTCATCCTATTGTCAATATCCCGGCCACATATATATGTATGTATTTATACACACGTCTAACTCACCACTCCAGATAGTAATAATATCCTTGCATTTGATATTGTACCTTATCACGTCTTTGAGACGTCTCAAAGTGCTTCACAGAATATACTGTGAAGTGAATTGACTGTATATTTTGTGGGCGAAACATCACTGAGCCCTTTTCCCTTGGAGTGATGGGCTATTAGTTTACTGTACTGGGAAAGTCCTAAATTCTCTTTGACCGTGCCTTCAGCTCCCCTCTCGACTCTCTTCCCCCTCCTCGCTCCCTCCCTTCCCTCCCCCTGACCATTTCCCCCCTCCTCGCTCCCTCCCTTCCTCCCCTCACCCTGACCATTTCCCCCCTGCTCGGGTCATGACCCAACTGTGCAGCGCCTTGGGACGTCCTCCTGACGTGAAAGGCGCTTTATAAATGGAATCTTGTTGTTGTTGTTGTTGTAATGGGTGTTGTGTTCTACTAGGTTGTATTGTACTCCCCAAATTAGTTTTAACTATTTACTCCCAAACTTATGAGTCATTTTGCAATTATAAAGTGCTAGCAATACCTAAAATAATACAATATTATGACCCTCCAGCCATATATTGAAATAACATCTTTTGCTAACTTTTTATATTGTTTAAATAGTGAATCGCAAACCAGAAACTGTTTGATATCCATTGTAGCTGATCTGAGATGTGCCACATTGGATGTTGTCTCCAGCATTATAAACAGCTTGCTACAGGTTCAGGTAAATCATTTTAAAAGGTAGCCTCTTAAAATATCTTTTTTGAAGTACTATAAATTGAAGCAGAAGATAATTAATTCAATCATTGCTGCAAATGGTTCAAAAATTCATTGACTCCTTGTTTATAATTTTGCATTTGATATACTGCCTTAAGTATCTCAAAACACTTCAAAGGCTTTTACTATGTATTTGTAGGCAAATGTGGCAGACAATTTGCATGTAGCAATGTCCCACAAACAGCCATGACCAATTTTTATCTGGAGGCCAAGTCAGCGGGAGAAACTTCCTTCTCTTTTCTAATAGTGCCATGAAATCTTTAACGTCTCATCTTCAGGCTGGAACCTCTGACTTCACTCCATGGCTGTTTGTGAAACATTGTTGGTCGCAAATTAGCTGGTGTTACTCACAAAAAACATCGTTCTTCAGTGAATCCTGTGAAGCTCTTTGAGCCGTCTCAGTGACATGAGGGTCTATTTCAAGGGTTTAGTTGGTGTTTTAGATCAGAAATTCTCCATAGATTAAAAACTGTACCCTTTCCCATTGTGGTCCAGTTAATCAGAATTGTGGAGTCCCTTAGCATAGTTGTTATCGCACTCGCCTCACAAGCAAGAGGTTTCTGGGCGGGGCGAAACCTTAAGACAAGTGATGTTTGGATGAAGAAGTCCCTTCACATAGCTTACTCCTCACGCCTCTGTTTACCTAACAGTGAGTAGGAACTCGGTTGTTAGTCAATTGGTGGATTGCTTTCCGGGGGTAATTATTCCTCCACAAAAGTGTGGTTACTCAATCCATGACTGAAGCTGTCATGACCTGGACTCTAGACTCATTAAAAATGTAACTTGATATTGTGATGGGGAAATGTAAGGTGGGATGAGATAAGGCCTTCTTCATCCAAACCAATCCTGTGATCGTCTGAACCGATCCAAACTAATGCATTTCCCAAAATGTTGATTTACCTTTTTTTGACTCTTTTATTTTCCAATCATCACCTGTAACCATTTAGATTATATGACCATTAAATGTGTCATAGTCTTTATTTTTGGGTCACAATTTATTTTTGATTCTTTGCATTCTGCCTCTACCTAAGTAAGGAGTTGAAATTAAATAGAAGAAATTCAAAATGCAAAGCTCTTTGCATATCTCCCTTGTACCAGTACATTCTGAAGTACTTTGAGACATCTCAGCAGTGTCCTAAAGCGCAAATATGAAATGGAAGGATTGTTATCTGCATCATTCTACTTTTATATTTGCATACATATTTTACCTCATATTACCTATTCTGTTAGCAGTTTCTATTTACTCTATATGAGTGAATTTTTTTATTGTCAAGACTTATTATTTATATTATTAAGATTATTATATATTTTTTACAGTGCCAGTTTGGGGGAATAGTCGACACGTTTTATGCTTTACAACCACAGAAAAAGGGAATTAAGAAATGCTTGTTAAAATCCCTAGGTTTGGGTCGTAGCAAACCATTTTCGGAGCCACCATTCAAGGTAATGTAGTTTTAAATTTTATTTCTTTTAATTTTTTTCCTTTTAAATTGACACATGCATTTGTAAAAGATACTATTTGACTTGATCCAGCTTTTTAAAAGGGTTATTATTAAATATCAGCTAGAAAAAAAAACTGGCTGTACATTTCTGTTTAATATTTTAAATTGAATGTGTGTAATATTTTGAATCTTCTGAACTTTCTTAATTTTTTAACAAAAGCAAACATTTATAAAATTTCAGTTCTATTTACCTGAAGATTTTTTAGCCTAGTTTTTCCTCCTCTGATATGCAAAGTCAGTTGTCTTATGTGACCCAGAGCAATGGTACCTTATCTGCTCCAAAGCTCATGTGAGTGCTGTGAAAGGTGAGATTAAGAAATGCACTCTCCTGGCAGCCACAGTTCTGCCCTCCATATGGAGAATTGTCTGACTTCCACTCGGCTTCTTTCCACAGCAAAGCTGATGGGATCAGAAATTCTGAGGAGTGGACTCTAATCTTTATCTGGCGTCATATGTTGGTGTTCCAATATGCCAATTGCACAGTCATGCATGTTTTAAAATATTCCGTTAACTGTTTAGGTAACAAACTCAGGAATTTCTTTCAGTATAAAATGGAAATTTTTCCTTTCTGACTGTAGTTGGCTCCTAGTGCATCTGCCAGGAAAATATTTGATTCAATTAGATTTAGCTAATCCCACTATTTCTCTCATTATTAGTATGTTCTTCTGAATGAAGTCTTTGAATTGTTCAATTATATCGATCGGAGTCAGTTGACCTCTGACCTTGGAGGCTACTTGGTGTATCAGCACGCAGCTTGGGTCCACTTCAGGAAGGTAGGATTTGGAACTCTGTAATCCACTTGGCAGGTGCTATGTTCTCCTTTTACAACAGCAACAGGTCAATATCAGAAAAATAGAAATATAAAGGGCATGGGGCAGGAGAATAGGACACAGTGGATGATTACATCTACAATGGGCTGAAGGTACTTCTATGCCCTAAGTTTCTATCATTCTGATTTTGATTCATGTGGTGGTGTTGCTCCATTTGACAAAGGATGTTAATTGCTTTCCAGAACTGATAAGGATAGTGGAGTTGGAGAGCAGGTTTGTGATTCGGGATCTTATAGTTCAGTGAGGCCAAATGGTTAATTTTGGATTCTAGGAGAGTTGACTGAGGTGTTCTTGGAGACTAAATTGGCTGAGAGGGCAGAGTTTGGGTTTCAGTCAGGAAACGTAGGAAAAACTTGGAGAAATGCATATTAGTGTCAAATTGGTTTCTGGTAGCTGGTGGATTTGACTGTTGGTCAGCACTGGAATTTGGAAGTTACCTAGCTAGTCTAGTGTTTTCTACATGAATATTAACATTACTGATGACTGTGTGAACTCGTTGATACAATGGTTTATTTTTCATTTGCAGAGCAGTATATTGTGGGTGATCAGTAGACCAGTTTGTATTGTTTGGAAAAAGAAACCATCTGTAGCAACAACAACAAACATTTGTATAGAGCAAGTGTTGTGCTTGAGAACAAGTTGTGCGCTGGTCAACTGTGTAGCAAAATCTTTATCTCTCTTGGTGAATAACAAATGAACAGTTGCATGGATTTTCCAGTGGATTGCTGAGTCCTAGTTCCAGATATTTTTATCTAGATATACAAATAGCGTTTCAGATGATTGCAAGGAAATCACTCAGATAAGATGTTAGCGACTGAGCCAGGCTGACGCCTTAACGTACGAGCAAGTCAAATTACATGTTTTTGTGCACCACTTTGGCCAGGGATAAGTTGATGGAACCAAATAACATTTTTTAAAAGCAAATTTCTGCCAAGGATCCTATTGAAATAGTGGAACCACGTTCTGTGATATTGTGGAAGAGTAATCTGACTCACAGAGAGTGTCTTAAATAATGCATGTTGTTCAGAGCACCTGAATACTTATCAGCCACAGGATGCTGCTGAAAATATGAAATAATTGGACAGAATAAAAAAAATAAGTGGCACAGTTAAGTAAGGCTGATTTGCAAAGGCAGCCTTTCCTTCCTTTTATTATAGTGGCTATGGATGGTGAGTAACCTTTTGTTATTGTGAACTGGCACTCATGTTACCTAGGAGAAGCTCACGTAAGCATGACCTAATTAGCAGTTACAAGTAATTTTCTATTCACTAGGTTAGATTCTGTTGAGGTTCACTACTGCGTGACCAAATGGAGTTTGTGCTTTCAACATTACTTAATTGAAAGGTTTACAAAAATATAATAGATTTAGGAAAAGAGACAGAATATTTGCAAAGTACCTCTGTTTTGATCTTTGTATTTCATATTAAGTATCCACAGTTGGCAACATCGCTGCTGATTAGAAATGTGACTGATGTGACCTTGTACCTTTGTAAATGGAAACCCAAAGAAATCAGAATGATTTGTTGGTTTACGAGAATACAGACCCAAATGGGAACTTTTTGTTTCATTGTGGTCTTCAGATCTGATTGAAAATACAATTGGTTAAATAGGAATATGTAGCTGAGTTGACAATTAATTGCAGTGCTGATTGAATGTTGTGGTGACGAGAGAAGCTGCCTTTTAGGTGACGTTGATCCGAGGTCTCATCTGGTGGTTCGTGTGCATGTTAAAGAAAGATCCTATTTTGAAGTGACTTGCATGCAGCACTTTGAGATTTTATCGAATTCAAGCACCAAATATAATGAAAGATATAATTTTGAAGACTTATATTTAGTATTTTTTTAAACCTCAAATTTCTAATTGTAAATCAATTATCATAAAATTAAGCCTTGCTATTATAGCAATGAAGTTATGACTCACTTTAGTTTGTAGGTGTACACTGGGCAGAATAAATAACCCACTCCATAACGTGCCATTGACAGGACATTGATGGATTCATCTGCGAGTATTGCAGAGTGATGCAAAGATTTCCTGGATTGCTAGCCCTTCTCCAGGAGCTGTCTCTTCAGTCACTACCTGCAGGTGCAGAAGAGTTTCAGTGGCTTCCCCATGAGCTCCAGGAGCTCTACACACAAGGAAGGAGGTAAGCAAACTGTGTTGTTGTAGTTGGAGCCATAAAGCCCATTAGCAAAGTGTTGTGGATTCTTTGAGGACTTTAAATGGAAACATCACAAGAATGAACAGTTTCTTCTAATTTGTAGGATTTCTTCTAGCACAAAGAACTGTGGGCTGTCCTCGTCTATTTATGTAGGTGCTTCAGTATAACATGAGTTCACTTGCTTCTGTTGTAGTGGGGTCAACAGATATTTATTTACCTGAAATATTCAAAACGTGAGAATTTGCTCGATCAGTGCTGCAGAAAGCCTCAGGGGGAATCAGGTTTCTGCCAATGCCACTTTATACACACAGGAAGTGACAGCCGCAGCAATCTCATGCCCAAGAGGTTGGCTATTTTGATTTCTGACCCACTAAAAATGGTCAATTTCTGAGTTATCAGATCGCCGCTAACATACCTCCACGAGCTGAATAAATACAGCGTGCAGCAAGTGATGGCAGTGACTAGATGTCAGCTGTTTTGGCTTCACATATCAGCCATCTTTCTGCAGGCATGCACAGTGAACCTCTTGCAGCTTTAAAATCAAACCATGACTACTCTTATTTTATACCTTTCAAGTTCAATGGATGATTTACTTTTAAGGCAATGAAAAATGCGTTCACCGCCCTTAGACGTGAAGTTAAACTTACCAGAACATTTGAGAATAAAAGGTAACTTATCTCTAGTGCCAGAAATCTTACAGAGTGTTCTGCATATTCTGCAAATCCAAATGCTACAATCTTACCAGGAACAATGTGTTCATGTTAAGGAAATCTTTCAGAACTCCCTTCAAAAAGAGTACAATGTCAAAGCATTTGCATTAAGTAGCAAAAAGCCACATTCCTTCAATGGGAGCTCTTTGATACAGAAAATCCTGCAATTTGGTTAAAGCAGGAGGATGTTTCCAGAAGGTTTCTGAGAAGGTTCTTGTAATATCTTTTATATCGGCATTCAGAATCCATTGTTGTAAACCTGTTTTTAAAATTTGTTTTGTTTGCCTGTAAAATTTACTGTGAAAAATTCTTCTTCCCTTTGTTTTTATTATTATTATTCTACTGGGGGTAGGGTTTAATGGAAAAGTATCTGATATCTTCCTCTCTAACCGTGGGAAGCTGATACAAACTTCCTTGGCTGAGATCAGCTAACTTGGCACAGACTCCATATTTAAATCTGCAGCTGGACTGTAGGGCCTTGTGTTACATTGACCACAGCCACAGCTTTTACCCACTAGGCTTGTGTTTAAAGACGCAACGCATTGTTTCATAGTAGACTTGGTTAACTTCTCTGGTCTTATTTATATTGTAGAGATCTAGGGATTGATGAACTACTGAGAAGGTGTGAGACGATTGTGGAAAAACTCAAGAACCCCAAAGCTGATCCTCACTTCTTGGCTATGGCTGGAACGGCCGTCTTTGCTCAGACATTGGATGAAATGTACGAACGGAATGAAAGGTAAATGCCTTGCTTAGATGACTCCGTCTTTGAGGTGTTTGAGAGTGGGAAATGATTGCAAAGCAATTTATGTGATTTAGTTAATGACCCTTTTGTTAAAATAAAAAGCTTTGTCTATTTTGATGTTAGGCGCTGTCTCACTCCTCTTTGGGCCCTATATACCGGAAGCTTGTGTCACTGGTTAGCTGGCTTCTGGTTCTTAGCCAACTAAATCATGGCCAACTTCCAAGTTGTCAGGTTGCCCCGAATGTCATTTTCTGAGCATTTACATGCAGTAAACACGCTGACATCACTTTGCAAAGGAAATGACATCAGTGGCACTTCCAAGAAATTATGTCATTTACGACCTGCAAGTCAACCACTTTTTTGCCTCTTGACTATAATCAGTGAGATCTTGATCTCAGCCATCTGCCCACAATTGAGGTTTCCCTGTGTTTAGATACTGAATTATATTTCTTTACGGCGTGTACCTTTCTTGTCCCCAACTCTATCGATCTGTCTTCACATTCGATTCTAGGACCTTTGCTGTTCTAATTGATTGTTTGTCGGACACTCAGTCCTGGATGAAAATTAACTTTCTCCAGTTCACTGTCGACAAGACAGAGATGCCTCTTACTTTCTATTATCCGGAAAGGACACAGACCATCAGTGCATCAACTGGCTGTTTTAATCTCACTATGAAAATCTCTGTTCTGCATACAGCTATTTCTCATTTTTTTAGCATAATTCATAGTAGAGATCTTTAGTCCTAGAATCTTTTCTGTAATTACCCACCTACTGACAAGAATGATTTTCATTTCTAATAGTGCCCATATCTTACAGTCCCTTATTTAAATCCCTGAGCAGGATAAGAGCAGCTGTGGATAAAGTGGAGTTACTGTGGCAACAGGCTCTTTCCAGAGCTCAGCTTTTGTTGAAGGACTTTCAGTGTAAGCAGAAGGCTCAACAGGTATGTTTTCATTACGGAATTGTAGGATAGATCAAGTTAAGAATGGATGATGAACCAGTGGGGGGGAGAGGATATTTTTAAGCTAGCAAAGGAATATAAATTAAAGTGACTCAGCCTGAATAGGAAGTAGAAATACACTTAAGCTTTACAGTTTTTTTTAGAGGGTTGGTCAGCCCAGTGTCCTGGCACATGGGGAAACCCACCCCCATGCTTAAGAATATCCAAACCAAACTGAGAATTCCATGCATCTCACCTACACGTGGAAATCTCAGAGATAGATTGTTGGAATGGAATACACACCCTTTCCCTGGAAGGACACATCCTGCTTACCTAATTCCGGAGAGTATTAGGAGCAGGTTGGCAAAGGTCAAGGCTTAGGGACCCCAGAATGTGTGTTTGGGAACTGCTGGAGTCTAACCAGCTAAAACCACATAGCTTCCAGATTGAAATGCTTTGAGATGTCCTCTCAGCATAAAAACATGTTGTATCAAATGCAAGGAAATATTACACTTAATTGCTGTTTGTATTATATTTAAAGAATCATATTGGTTGGTAGTTCTTCAATCAAATAAAACTTGAGACCAACAAACTGGTTCCTGTGCCTTCATCTACTGATCAAATTTAGTTGCTACTTCCCTGCTGTTGAGATGTTTGGACTTTATAGGTGCTACATCATATTCAAGGGTTATTATTGTGATTCTAATAAAAACCTTTACAAATTGACAAATATTGCAGTCTACACAGGGAATGATGATCTGTAAGAGATTGCCATGGAAGGTAAAATGTAGTGATACTGATTTTAGTTTATGAAAGTTTTTGAAACTTGGTTTTATGATTTGTTTTTCCCATTTATTTTAGATTATTGATTTAATCATCGAAGAAGGTTTAGGGAACGTTCGTGCATACAAGGTAGAAATTGCGAACAACTTCAGCCAAGCAGAAATGTTAAAACTAAAGTATGAAGATGCCATTTATAAACCAGCCATGGTGAGATTGATTTTATGACTGATATGAGAACTGAAAGAGTAAAGAGTATTGAATTTGCAGCATCTTAGGAGAAAAAAATCATATTTAGTATGACCCTTTATTTCTGTTACAATACTCTTAATGAATTACGGTAGCAGCAGTAAAACTTGTCATGAACTAGGCTCTTATATTTTATACCAGACAATGTTTGAGTGTTGATAGAATGTTCAATCCTTTCCAAGCTAACTTTTTGGCCATTCACTTCATGGCTGTTTGTGGAACATTGCTATGTCCAAATTGGCTGTTGTGTTTGCCTCAGAATACAGAGTCACAACAGATTGCAGTAAAATTCAATGAAACGCTTTGAGGCGCCCTCCTGATGCGAAAGGTGCTATACCAATTGCAAGGATTATTATTTTCTTCAGGACCCCCTCTCTCTGTCTTTCTCTCTTTCCCTACCATTTACCGTCACCATTGTAGCCTGATAATTTGTCATTTACATTTTGTCCTCAAATTCAGTCAAGTCCATTCTGACTTTGCAATGAACCAGACATGAAATATTGTTTTGCAGTCTATCTTAAAGATACTTTGAAATGTTTTTTCAATAATGTCGCCAAATTAACCAGTATGCTGGTTCTTGTTTACACACATGCTGCTTTGTATATTTGTTGAATATCTCTGACTATTTTGTCTCTCCCCGTCAGTTCTTAGCTCTTTTACTCACCTTTGTTTTTTTTTAGGAGCTGGTTGTTGAATCTGAGAAGGTGTTGCATGCACTCGGTGTATTAACTGAGCAAGGACTTGGGAGAGATGAAGATTTATGGGAGAAACTGAACAGATTAAAAGAAACATTGAACATAGCTGTAGACATGCCCTACAAAACATTGAAAGCTGTGTGTGATTTCAACTACATGTTTGAAAAAGTAAGTGATCCCAGACCTTGGAATAGAATCTTGGTGGGTATTCAAATGATTGCTCCCAAGATGATATCAGCATGAAAGATATTATATAAATGCTTCTTGTTGAAATATCTTGGTTACCAGTCAAAGTTCTGATCAATTATACAGTAACTTCAGTCAGAGATGTCAGAGCCAAAGTATGTGTAACAATTTACATCTTGCTTGTACCATTATCTACCATTTCCACAACTGTAGTGACTTGCTGCTTTTACAGCAATGGGGTGAATCCTGCAACTTAGTGGTTAGAGCACTTGCCTTGGAAGCGAGAGACCTAGGTTCAATTCCCGGCAGGGTAAAACTTTAGGCAAGTTTCCTTACTCCACATGCCTGATAATAATCCCTCAAGAAAAAAAACAATAAATTGGTCACTTCGATCCACGACTGTTTGTGGGACACTGCTGTATGCAATTGGCTGCCGTGTTTCACCCACAAGTATACAGTATATTCTGTGAAGTGCTTTGAGATGTCAAGAAGACTTGATAAGTGCTATATCAAATGCGAGGATTATTATTAGAATCTGCAGCAGTTGATGGAAAAAACATTTTCTCCCTAACACCATGGATTTCTTTATTAAGGTGATTAGAGGGAAAGGCACTCCTCGGAAACACAAAATAAACTCCGAATGCTCCTTGCAATAGAAAGTGCCCTGTTCAGAATGGTGCAACACAAAGTTGCTGCACGTTACCAGTTCATAATTGTGTTTCCACACTCATCCTAAAAATGTTTTTTTTTGCTTATTTATTTGCCACTTGGCAAAACCATTTGGTCAACAATGACTTATTGCTGCAGAGTCACCTGATATACATGTTATGGATAATCCTTCATGTGGGTAATCCTTCTATTCAGGATGGAGCGCTTTTGTATATTACTGTCTTGGTCTTTAATTGAACGTTCACCTTCAAATCACTTTTAGAAATGATTCTACAAAATTATTTCTTGCAGGTCACTAACTGGTACCATTTGGTACTGGAACAAATACTTTTCGAGGAAGCTGCTCATGAGAATAGTGTACCCAGGCTCGGGCTTCCTCGGCAGGCATTGGCTAGCCTTAAACCTGGCTGGCAGCGTCGTGTTAATCACATTTTCAGGAAGGTGCCTCTTCCAGATGTTAAGGATTTTGTTCAGCTCAGGCATTTGGCTAATGATATTCCAGATGTACTTCAGAGGAGGCAGGGGAAGCTGCTATCTCGTCAGTGAGTATGGTGTTCTATTCCTTTGCGGCATATTGCTTCAAAAGGAAGGCCTTTTTTGTTTAATTCTATTAAAACTATCGGTGAGAGAATTTACTTCATTGTCTGTAAAACAGCCTTTTGTGAATGGGAGCTGGATTCTAATTCAGAGGAGCAACATCCTTCCTTGTTTTATTTCAATTTGTGGAGTCCTGTAGCATATTGGTTAGAGCACTCGCCTTGCAAATGAAAGGACCTGGGTTCGATTCCCGGCAGTGCAAAGCCTTGGGCAAGTTTTCTTACTCTACATGTCTCTGTTTAATTACCAGTAAGTAGAAACCTGGTTGTTAGTCGATTGGCGGATCGCTTTTCTGGGGCTAATCCCTTCAAAAAAATGTTTTAAATAATAATTTGGTCACTCAATTAGCAACTGTTTGTGTGACACTGCTATGTGCAATTGGCTGCCACGTTTTGCTCACAAAATAGTCAATTCACTTCATAGTATATTCTGTGAAGTGCCTTTGAGATGTCTCAATACGTGAAGAGGCACTATATCAAATGCTATTGTTATATATTATTAAATTACCTAGAAATTAACAAACATTCCAGCTTCACAACAACTAATTGTTGTTTGGGTACTGCAAAGGCAAACAAGGTTAGAAAAGGTGAAACCATATATGGGGAAGGGACAATTGTTTTAATGTAAGCAATTCTGCTTCTGTCAGAGTTCCGAGGGCTTGATCCTTCAGTTAATTACAATATTGCAACTATTCCCCAGATTTGTCTTCTCTCATCTGGGGAAATATTATGTGAAAAGCTCACAGGAAGTCCATGAAGGCATCCTATGCTGTGATTGGCAGATTCTTGTATGATTTTAAATAGTTGAGCAATGATCAGCATTATTACTGCTTTTAAATCATTGTCTTATCTCTGGAGGAAACTAATAATGTACAATGGTTAGTTTTCTCAGATCTGGCTCTGATTTTCATCTTCAATTGTCTATAAGTACTGGAGATCCAACTAAGTGATACAGGCAGGGAGGATGACTTGACATTATTCTAATAATAATAATCCTTGCATTTGATATAGTGCCTTATCACGTATTCGAGATGTCTTAAAGCACTCCACAGAATATAATGTAAAGTGAATTGACTATGTATTTTGTGGGCGGAAAGCGGGAGCCAATTGCACACAGCAGCGTTGAACAAACAATCATGGATTGAGTGACCAAATTAGTATTTATTTATTTGAAAGGGATTATTACCCACAGAAAAGTAATCCGCCAACCAGGTTCCAACTTACTGCAAGGTAGTGGAGTCCTGTAGCTCAGTGGTTAGAGCACTCACTTTGCAAGTGAGAGACCTGAGTTCAATTCCAGGCAGGGCAAAACCTTGGGCAAGTATCCTTACTCCACACGCCTACTAATAATCTCTCCAAAACCAAAAACAATAATAAATTGGTCATTTTCAATCTACGACTGTTTGTGGGACATTGCTGTGCGCAATTGGCTGCCGCGTTCGCCCACAAATATACAGTCAATTCACTTTACAGTGTGTTCTGTGAAGCTCTTTGGGACGTCCTCCCGACGTGAAAAGCGCTATGTCAAATGCAAGGATTATTATTATTACAAGGTAAGCAGAGTAAGGAAACTTGCCCAACATTTCTCCTGGTCTCGGAATCAAACCCTTGTCCTCTCGTTTGGGAAGCGAGTACTTTAACCACCACGCTACACAACTCCACAAGTTTATTTTGTGAAGAATGACTAAAGAAGGCGATCAATCTATGTATACTTGTGTGATGGTATCCATGATGAAACATTAGTTATGATTGCAGCTGTTTCCCTTTTGCAATATTTGTTTCTCTACAGATGTTTAATTATAAGGAAGTTGTTGACTTCTCAGGGCCATGTGCTGCTGGTTGATTTGGAGCAAGCAATTCAGTGGCAGAAAGCTTACTTGAAAAGACCACACAGTACAGGGTTTCATCATCCCAATTCACCCACTGGCACCAAGATTATTGGAAGTGGTGCTGAGGACCTGGAGATGGACATTGGCACACGCAGGTTTTGGAAATCATTAACTAAAAAAGCTTCATGTGAAGCAAAGAAGCAAAATAGTACTGCACCATATACCTCCTCTGTGGAAAGGCGTAAACATGAAACTCGCCAAATTGGACACAATAGGGATAATAACCATTTTGATCAGAAGTTGAACTCCACTGTGTTTCCCTCAACTATTGTTTATCTAAACCCAGAAGAAAGCAAAACATCTAAAAAGCCTCCATCTTTGTCTTCTTTCGACTCTGGAATTGATGGAGCTAGCAGCTGCAATTTTGAAAGTGGAAGTGTGAAAGATCATTGTGAAATGTCAAATCAAGAACATTGGCCAAAAGAACTGTTGAAACCACCACTTAAAATAGAAGTGGCTGAGCTAGATAGAGAGGATAATGTTGGTGAGATGGAATCAGAATGGTCTGAATTCAATAGACTTGGTTTTTCTGATTCTTTCTCCATATCGAGTGTCCAACAGTCCTCACCAAAATGGAATCCAAAGACATTGGATTTTGAGATGAAAGTTAGGCATTCATCTGGTTTGCATAAGAATCCATGGATTGGTCTGCGCGTTGAAGACTTTGAGAAATCCTATATGGTCACAATTACCCCAAAAAAGTTTGGACTGAAGACAAATGTCAAACTTGCAGAAGTTAGCCATAATGTGACGCACCAAAATCAACAAACACATTTGGGCCAGTTTATCAATGTATCTCCAACACTGAACAGCCTTGAGGCAATAAAGACCAGATCAGTAGCAATGCAAGCCACAGTAGGTCAAGAAAACACTTTGGTCTTAGGAGAATGTAGTGTTCCGACTGTTGAGAAACCATGTTCTGAAGAGTCTGGCAGTGAGAGTAACTTGAGCCCTATCAAATACTTAGGGATTCAGCCCATCTTTAAGGAATCCTTCACCGAAGAACCACACATCTCAAACATTCTCTCGGGTATTTATGATTTTCCAGAATCTAGAAGACTATTTGAAGGAGCTAGTAATGAAAGGTACTACCATACATTTATTTTCTCTGGCTCATCTTCCATACACACTTCTACTTTAGTCTATTTAACCATGTTTTAACTAACTATATATGCATACACTTTGATTCTGAATTGCCTACATAATCATATATGAATTTTGCACGACTTGCTCCATCTCATCTAATTGGGAATATATTTTGCAATTAAACCATTGTTGAAATAATTTTCTCTGAATATTATTGATAGATTTTGAGAAATACTGTAGAAAGACAGAACCCACCCTCTCCCATGCCATCCCTGAACAGATAGATGGTATAAACCTCTCTGGATGCATTCAGTTTGGTATATTTGACAACCAAAGTTATTCCAGTAGATGAACTTGAAACCATGGCATTAAATTTTCCTTGAGAATCTGTCTGTATGAAGGTGGACTTGCACTTATAACCTTAAATTTGATTAAAAAGGGGATTGTGAAAATATGAGAACCAGTTGCATCCAATTGTTGGTTTCTATTTTCCAAATGCAATGACCTTGAGTGCTTTTTCACATGAACAGAAAAGATGATAAACGAAAAGGGGACCCAATGCTGTATGATTGGGAGATGCGGGAGCAGGAAAACCTTCAAGGTGATGTTGAAAAGCTTCTGCTAAAGACAACCAAAATTCTAGAGGTCAGCGGTAAATTAATTCTTTTTTTACTTGTATTGTGTATGTGTATATGCTTGTGAACTTCTGTGAGTAATTGAGCACAGATTCTTTGGACCTCACACAAAATTCTTTTAAGTTCTTGTCAGCTGGTGATTTCCAATGTATAAGACTGATTTTTTTTTGATCCAGTGGTGCAGTGACGGGTATTGGAGCATGCTGTGAAATGTAATCTTTAACTTGTTTTTGTGTTGAAAAGCTTTAGTAAATGGCTTAGCTGATTTTGTTATTGCACTGTCACGTTGGATGTCCTCCCGACATGAAAGGCGCTATATAAATGTAATATTTTATTGTACTTGGGCAGCCGCCACTTATTTCACTTCAGTCCTAGCTTCCTGTCTTCCTGAGTTCATCACTGCAGTAAATGACTGAGCACAGGTTGGGTTATATGAAAGTAATAAATCACTCCTAGAATAAAGGAAACGGAGAATAGTTGATCAAAGGTTTCCAATATTGGAATTTGTATGAGGCTATAGAGCCGTAGTATAATAATAACAATAACAATCCTTTAATTTGGTTTAGAACCTTTCACATGGGGAGGATGCTTCCAAGCTCTTCACAGGATTCACTGTAAAGTGTGGTAACTTATATTTTTAGAAAAACTCCCTTCTCTTTTTGACTAGTACCATGGGATCTGTAACGTCCACCTGAACAGGCAGATGGGACCTTGGTTTAATGTCTCATCTGAAGGATGACAACTATGGCAATGCAGCTCTTGGATTTATATCAAACCCTTTACATGAGATAGTAAGTTTACTAAAGTTTAACAAAAAAAAGTTAAAAAAATATTTTGTCATCGTTTGTACCCAGGAGGAGGAATGTGTGCTCAAACAGGAAGAGGAGCTGGAGTTCCTCTTGCAGACTCAGGTGGAAGAGGAGCAAGATGACAGTGACCTCGAAGAGAACAGCATAGTGGTTGATGTGAGCAGTGACCCAGGCAGTATGAAGAGTGATTCAGATGTTAAGGTCAGCTCCTGAAAAACATTCCATGCAGCATTTTTATTAGGACTCAATTTTTAACATTGTTCCTGGTGTTCCACAAATCTAATTCTACAAGATTGTTGTAAACTTCAGTTAAATATTGAAGATATTTGCCAAAAACATATAACTTTACAATCATCACAGTACAAGTTTGAAGAAAGATTTAATATTACTTTTCAATGAACCAGATAATTGAAACTTCACTGATGTTCTCCTTGGGCTGGGATTGAAACTTCATCCAACAAAACCACCGTTTTTAATCATAGCTTCAATTTTAAGAATTTCATGTAAAAATGTATTTATTCAACTTTTATCTATATGACAAGTGTGGCCAGGATTGAAACTATGCCATTTGAGCTCAAAATAATTGAAGCAAAGGTTGTTTATAATTGAAGGGGAGAGATGTCAGTCCTGGGGAACAAAATAATTTCCTACTTTGACATCCATGGTCCATATCAAGCACTCTTAAATCAGGTAGACCTGGATGCAGATAAGAGTGGTACAAAGACAATGGGTTGAAGAGCCTCCTTTGCTGAAAAATATTGTATCTTCTTTATGTCCCTGTACACCTCCCAACAATGCACCTTTATCACCTTTGGAGGAAATTCCTTTACTGTATTGTACCAGCGTGACCTTACCCAGCCTTTCTTATTAAATACTATGGTGGACATATTTAATAAGACTGCCATCAGTATTAAATATGCCCACCATAAACTGAGTTGAAATTCTGCAGACTCAAATCACTTGAGGCCACAGAAGGAGAGTGTCTTATCATACTGTAAAATCATAGCGAAAGGCAAATGTAAAATAGAAATCCTTACAGGCTACAGAAGAAGAGTATCATTTTATCAATTGTATTAATATGCAAGGATTATAATATCGTAGTGAATGGCTAATTATGAATTAGTTGCATCGCCCACCTCCAGCTTTGTCATTTCAAAATGGACAATACCTCTCTACACTTTGCGTAATGTTTAATTTTATATATTTTATTTAAAAATATGCTTACTCTTTAATTGTCTAATGGAACCTTTGATTCCAGCTCACAATGTCCTTGAAGGAGTTGTCGGACGCTGGAGTGATTGGGTTGGAAGACTTTGTGTGGTCTGAAATTGAGGAGCAGGAATCTGATTGTTGTTGCACTCATTCGCGCTTGGCCTGTGATACAGAATGCATGCAACAAGAAAGAGGATTTTGCTCTCACTGTGGCTTTAACATTGCTGGCTCAAGTCCAGGAGCACACTGGAGCCTACATAACCCCAGCTTACACCAGGAGTTGAAGGAACTGTGTCAGATTGAGGACCGAATTTTCGAAGAGAGTTTAAAGTTAAGGGAGCAGTGCTGGTCTGAGGAAGAGAACAAAACATTTCCAAACCAAACTTCAGCTGAATCTAATGGAGAAAGATTGAACCCAAGTGAAGACCGAATAAAATTCTTGAGTGCGTTGGAGAGGGAAAGGAAGGAGGTTGAGAAGATGGAGCAAAGTCTTGCCAGAGAAGAACAAATGAAAAGCAGGAATTTAAGGAAATTGCTGCATAAGTCTTCAAAGAGACAACATGGTGGCCAAAAGAGTACAACAAAAGTAGCTGCTGCAAGTCGTATGATTTCTAATTTAACAGCTAATTTGAGGACTGAATTGACAAATCAATCTGAATCAGCGGAAACTAATTTAGTGATTAAGGACTTTAAACCTCCTGTGAACAGTGTTGACCCAGACTCCAATTGTGTCCAATGCAGCAAAGATACGGCAAATAAACAAGTGCCTCTATATATAGAGGTCGCACCTAGCTCGGGGAACAAGAGAGACACCCAGCTGCAACATTTCAAAATTCATTGTGGACGAGACCAGGTTCTTGTTGAAAATAAAGCCCTTCTTGCTAATGAAGAATATAGTTTAATTAATACAAAAGGTGACAAACTATTAATTTCCCAACAGTTGCCAACTGAAGGCTGTGTTGTACCAGACACCAGAGAATTGCAAATGTGTGACCAGATAGAAAAAGTTGACTTGGAAGAAACCCAGGGAAAGAATTGCGATGAGACCAATGGTCTGGTTAGCATTACTGAAGATTATCTGGGACTGAACAGCTTTGCAGGTAAAGGTGCACTGCTGAATCCAACAGAAATGCACGAACCACAAAACAATCCATTAGATTTTGAAGCTAATAGTCTGCTAGATAAAGAAGAGAATCGTATGAAGGAAGTTCATTCCGCTGAGAGCAAAACCTTTGGAGGCAATGAAAGATTCACAGCTGAACGCAATGACACAACACACCAAATTATAAAAACTAAACAAAAGCCAAAAGGTGAAGTGCAAACCAACTTGTCCCTGAAAGTAGAAAAGTTTCCAATATCCAGGTCTACTCAGCAATCTTTCAGTGAATGTTTTGTCGTAGATGGAGAGATTGGTACTGAAGACCAGCTAAGTGTTCCAGTACCTAAGCCAAGAGGAAGGATTCGGCAAAATGTGATACAATGTCAGAAAGAGACTAACCCAGCACAGCATTTGAGAAATTCCACTGATTTAAGGAAGACTGATGATGATGATGATCATGAATTGTCAGAAATTGATTTGGAAACTTGTCCAACTTCACAGGAGGTTATATATCAAGAGACTATCAGCAGTAAAACAGCAAATGAGTTAGATCTCAGTCTGTGGCCAGAGAACAGGTATTGTGCAACAGAACTGAAGCCAGACCATACCAGTAGAACTTCTAACATATCTGACTCAACAAACCTGCAGATAAATCAAGTAACTTGCAAAAAGGGTGATCGTGTCACTGAAGTAACTTGTTTCAACGACTCTGTTCCAGAGAATATGAACTCTGTTGTTAAAAATGGTGAAATGTGTTTAGGTGAAAATGACTCCAGGTTAGTTCTAAACCCCGCTCTGACTCAGGAAGGTGAACATGATGCAACTCAGACTCTCGTACCCAATGAAGTAAAATCAAGGACTGCAGCTGGCAACTGCAGCTTAACACTAGAGATGATCTGCAGATCTGGGACAATATTGCAGCCCAGTGAATCCAGGAATGTTGTGAATCAAAAGGAATCCTTAAATATTATAGATGGTTCCCTTTCAGATCACATAAATAACGATGAGGATTTTCACAATGCAGAAGCATGTTCTTCTGAATTTAAATCTGACTATTTAAATGTAAAAGAATCTGGTACACGGAATCCATCTTTGGACACTCACATTTTCCAAGCCTCCATTATGAAGGTAACTAAATTTTTTTAATATTTATAGAATAAATATTTATGAATCATTTATTTCCTGTGATATCCCTTTAGTGGATGACCTGATTAATTTCTCTGTAATAAAATCACTGATAATCTTGCATTTTGGGCTCGATCACCTATTTTTAGAATTAGAGCTTTTTAAACACGATATAATGTGTACTGTAAGTTAACACTTTGGTTACTGAAAGCTTTCCTCGCTCCCAAGTTGTGTGTATGTGTATATGTATATATAATTAATATATATATATATTTAAAACAATTCTACAGTTCCAAGGGTGAGAGCTATAACCTAAAAGTAGGTGAGTGAACAAAGTGATCTTAATTGAAGGTATCCTATACTCTAGGTTTTTTGGAAAGAGCAAGTTCCAAATATTTTTCGTAGATTTTCATAGATTCATAGAATGTTACGGCACAGAAGGAGGCCATTCGGCCCATCGAGTCTGTGACGGCTCTTTGACAGAGCAAGTCACTTTCACTAACCCCAATCACCAGCTTTCTCCCCATAACCACTAATTCTTTTATTAATCTCTTATGCGGTACTGTGTCAAAAGCCTTTTTGAAATCCATGTAAATAATGTCCATCGCATATTAACGAGGATTTGCCAAGGACATTGTGCAGGGTCCTTTCTATAAGGAAAGAAATATCCAGGGTAAATCAACCTCTGCAAATCTATTCAGGGCAACTTAAAAAAAACATTGTCAAAGCTAAATTACTGGTGGAACAGCCAGTCATGGTCAAGGTGGGTGTCTGAGGTATGCAGAAACCCACCTTTGTAGCTTAAAGAGTATCTAAACCAGCCAGAGTTCCACATGTGTATAGAAATGTGTATTTGCATCTAGGCATGGATATGTTCCTGTATCTGGAATGGAATGTGCACTCTCTCCCTGGATGGATGTGCCCTGCTTAACTATCTCCGGAGAGGATTAGGTGCAGATTGGCAAGATCCGATCTGAGGCTTAGGGATCCCTAGAATGTGTACAAGGTATTGCTGGAGTTTAACCAGCACAACCATTGAGAGTACTGGCTGGCAAGCTCCCCCCTGCTTGTCTTGCTAGTACCATAGCAAGTACTATGCTAGGCTGCCGGCTGTGGTTTGAAGAGTTAACAAGAGCTGAATGAGAAGAATCCCTGCTCCTAGACTCTCGTCTGTGCCTCCAGAGCATCAAGTCAGGCTGGTTAATCTGTCATCAGCAACAACAACAACAACAAGATTCCATTTATAAAGCGCCTTTCACGTCAGGAGGACGTCCCAAGGCGCTGCACAGTTGGGTCATGACCCGAGCAGGGGGGAAATGGTCAGGGTGAGGGGAGGGAAGGGAGGGAGCGAGGAGGGGGAAGAGAGTCGAGAGGGGAGCTGAAGGCACGGTCAAAGAGAAAGGTTTTGAGACCGGCCATGAAGGAGGAAAGGGAGGAGGCGGCGAAGGCACTGGGGGATAGAGTTCCAGAGCCTAGGGGCTGAGAGGCTGAAGGCCCGACCACCGATGGTAGGGCAATTGGGGCGGGGGACGTGGAGCAGACCGGAGCCTGAGGAACGGAGGGTACGGGCAGGTAGGTAGGGGGATAGTAGGTTGGAGAGGTAGGAGGGAGCAAGGCCGTGAATGGCCTTGTAGGTGAGGATGAGGATCTTGAAATCGATCCTCTGGGGGATGGGGAGCCAGTGGAGGCGAGCGAGGGTGGGAGTGATGTGGTCCCGAAGTCTGGTGCGGGACAGTACACGAGCTGCAGAGTTCTGAATGACCTGCAGCTTGTGGAGGGAGGTGCCGGGAAGGCCGGCGAGGAGAGAGTTCCCATAGTCCAGCCTTGAGGTGACAAAGGCGTGGACCAGGGTTTCAGCAGCGTGAGGGGTGAGGTAGTGCCGTAGTCTGGCGATGTTCCGGAGGTGATGGAAGGCGGTGCCAGTTGTGGTGCGGATGTGAGGGAGAAAGGACAGCTCAGGGTCGAACAAAACGCCGAGGTTCCTTGTAGTACTGCAGATCTGTCTGGCTCAGGAACTGGACTACCAAAACTCCCGCAGAGGGTTGACTCTATGGTGTTATTCAGTTACTGAGCTGGCACCAGGAGAGTCACTTTTGACACTACTCCATTTTCAAGTTCCACCATTTGGGCTGAGCAGCAAGCCCCAGGAATGCTGCATTCCTACTGATTTGGAACCTGTGCATTTCTGTACAGGGCCAAACACACCAGGATTATTACTCTGCCTGATCCAGCCTGGGGTCCAAAGAAGAATTAAGTTTTAAATAAGAGACTTGTGGAAAATGAAGATTGTGAGGGTTTTATTGAAACATACTGCTTTTTTTTAACATTTCAAAATGTTTTCAAATTGTTGGAACTCCATCCTTGATTATTGTACATTCGCTGAACTGTGGAATTCATTGAACAAATTACAGGCACTGGGAAAGTTGGTTTGAATTTTATATTCTCCAATATGCACTTCTTTTGGTCATTTTGTTTCGAAGGGTGAGTCTAAAGATTAGCAACATCATAGCTGAGAACATTAACTCGTGTCTGGGTTCAATAGTGACATTCAACACTTTCAGTTTTGGTATAACAGCTATTTTTTGGAGCAAATATACATCTGTTTATGGACATTAAACATCCCATGACACTATTCAAAAATAGAAGGGAGTTTCTTCTTCTGTGACCTGACTAACAATACTAGAGTTCAATTGATCTTTCACCTCATAGTTGTGAGATCTTGCTAATAACTGCTATGTTCAATTACGGTCACAAGATTGGTTTCCATGAAGAAAGCTGTTCAGCCTATTTGATTTCATCCTTCCAGTATATCCACTCTATTATCTTCTCTTCAAACCTGTTTTTTAAATATCCTGGCCTCAACCACACTTTCTGGATACGTGTTTCAGTGGTTAATTATCTTCTGGGAAAAGAAAAATTTCCCTGTGTCTGAGAAAAAGACAGTAATTGCCTGTAAATTACGTTTCAGTTGTTTCAAGGTGTTAAGGAAATTTATCCTGGTGTCCAAGCTAATAAACGCTCAATTAAAATTGGTCATTCACTCCATGGCTGTTTATGGGATGCTGCTGTGCACAAATTGCCTGCTAAGTTCGCCCCCAAAATATATACAATCACTCCATGTTACAGTATATCAGGACGTCTCAAAGTGCTTCACAGGATATACTGTTCAGGCATGTGACTTTATTTTGTGGGTGAACTCGCCAGCCAATTTGCACACAACGTCCTACAAACAGTCGTGGAGTGATTTTATGTGGTGGTGGTGGGGGGGGGGCGGGAGTTGTTCACCATGATGCCAAGAGGAACTCTCTTCTCTTTTCAAATAGTACCATGGGATATTCAACATTAACCTAGACAGGTAGACAGGAACTTGATTCAATGTCTCATCTGAAGGACAGCACCTCTGCCAATGCAATACACTTCCAGTACTGCACTGGAGTGTTAGCTTAGATTATATGAGTTCCAAGTCCGACATGAGTGAACACCTAATCTTCTGACTCAGAGTGCTACCAACTGAGCATGTCTATTATTTTTAGGAAGGAAATGTCTGTTCATGTCTGAACAGTATTATTGTTCGGATTTGTGCAGTAACGTGGCGGATTGTCCCATGCAATAGATGTCTTGCATACACATCTCCATTGCTTAAGAAAGCATGGAATGAGAAAAAAATTGTCCCATTCCTTATGTATCAAAACCTACCCTGTTCTGATTTTCACCCCATCCATTCAGTCAGCTGGGGAAAAGTTTTGAATAAATGCTCTCTGACTGCAAAAGGTAGTAATTCAAAATCTCCAGGGCTTGATCTATTCAAATATTTCAACTGTTAACGTTACCCGTGATCCACAGCAGCCATTGCATTCCTGCGTGGTATTTGGTTATCTTAACCTGCCATGCTATTCTCCAGTCATCTTTCGAGGCAGTTAATAACAGCTCAACTGCTTTGTTGGAAATTTAATGCAAAGTACGATTGAGTCTTCAATAACCCACTATAGAGATATCCATTTAAAGCTCAGAGTATGTTGTGTCTAAAGAGTTGATGATTGTCAAAGTGTTTTGTTTTTTATGTCCTGACAGGTCTCTAATTATAACACACCAATTGTCCTAGACATAGGTTCTGGTTTGTTGAAGGGTGGCTTTGCTGATCAAGAACTACCAACTACCATATTTCCAACAGTAATTGGACGACCCAAATATGAGGTAAATATGCTAACAATAACCTCACTGTGAAACAGCCGGACTAATTACCTAAGGCTCATTTAGCGTATTATTCTAAAACAATGAGTCTTTATAGAGTGCCAAGTTTTACAAAGCATTTAACGGTAGCCATTATGTAAATTGGTTGTTATTCTGAAGTAAACTATAGTACTGTGAATGTGTTCTTCCAGTTTGCTTTGTTCTCGAGTAGCTTCTGAGCATTTAGGCACCAAACAACGAGGTTAACATTTTGGGATTTTTTTTGTAGCTTTGCCAATTTTTTGTTATCCTGGTAACTGCATAGTGTGTGTGTGTTTATGTGTGTGTGTCTATAAATATATATATATGACACCTGTCAATTATTGATTGTAACTTTGTTATGTCAAAATACTCAGATTTGACGTACTGATTACCTTTCTGGAGACTATTTTGTCCAGCCAAAAAANGGGGAAATCCATTTCGGGCAAGTGAGTTACCCTTTGAAGTGAGGGAGGAGGAAACAGGAAAGAAAACTAATTAATTACCAATTATTGGGTTATCCTCAATCTCTGAACAAAATATAAATCTAAAGATCTCTATTGATCAACAACACAGTAATTAATTAATGGGTATCTCATTATTTAACTACAAATCTGGATATAAGAGAATTATTTCATTGCAACAAGCAATATTTTTCAATGGGTCATTGGAACTCCTCGTACATCTCTCACTAGGTTATTGCAATAAGGTGATGCCCATTGCTGTGGTGTTGAATACACTCAGATTTTGGGTCTGATGCTCCACGTGGACATTGCTAATCTTGAGGATGGCATTAGGGACCTACATGGGCAGAGTAAGGGAAAGTCTTGTATTTGTCTGCCCCTTCTAGTGGTCTCCTCAAGCAAATGAACCAAAACGTAGGAGTAAATGTTGGGTGTCCTATTCATTTTTACTTGCTCAGCAAATTGTAGTGGAGCAAACTATTATCCATTTGATTTTATTTATTTTGCCTCCAGGATGTTTCGAGAGGGAGGTTTGAGAGAGATTTTTATGTAGGCAACGATGCTCAGCACATGCGTGGAGTCCTCTCCTTGTACTACCCCATGAAACACGGAGTTGTGAACAACTGGGATGAAATGGAAAAGGTATATATGGCTCAAAAAGCACTTCATTTCAGGAATGTTTAATTATCTTTTTCTCTCCCCCAACCCTCCGTTACTTATGTACCTGCCTGCATCACCTCCAGGCTCAACTCTGCAAACTCCCTGCTTGTTGGCCTTCCCAACCCCTCCCTCCACAGGCTGCAGATATTCCAGAACTCTGCAGCTCGTGTCATCTCCCACACCAAACTCCATGACCCCATCTCCCCCACTCTCACCCGACTCCATTCAAGATCCTGGTCCTCACCTACAAAGACCTCAATGGTCTTGTCCCACCCTCTCTCTGTGACCTCCTAACCCCCAACCAACCCGCCCGCTTCCTCCGCTCAGCCGGCTCCGGCCTGCTCCACATCCCCTGACCCATCCGCCCCACCATTGGCGGGAGGGTCTTCAGCCACTCTACCCCCAACCTCTGGAACTCCATCCACTAATCACTCCACCTCGCCCGCTCCTTAGCCTCCTTCAGGTTCTGGCTCAAAACTCTCCTCTTCGACCATGCCATCGGCCATCGCCCTTCCCCTCCCCTCCCTTCTCACCCCTGACCCCAACTTGGGACTGAAATGCTGTACACTGTTCACCGCCTTGGGACATTCTCCCGACGTAAAAAGCGCTATACAAATGTAATGTTGTTGTTGTTCTGGTGCTTCTGACTTCCTGCCTGTTCCAAAATAACTTGCCTTTGTATAGTTCCCTTTGTGTAGAATAATGTCTCAGAGCACTTCATAGAAATGGGGTTGGACACCAAGCCTGTGCATTTAGAGCTGCTTGTTTTAAGAATCTGTCAGAATCTTCACCTCTTCTTTCCCCTTCTCTCTAAAATATAATTTTGGTGTAGCTCCTTATTGTGTTGAAACGTCTCAAAGCGCATCACAGAGTATAAATGCATCTGAGAGTGCCAGTATATTCAAGTAAAGCACATTTTTGGAATGAATTTGATGAAAGTAATAAAGGGTTTCCGATGAATATTTATTTCAGATCTGGCATCATGCCTTCTACCATCAGTTGCGCATTGAACCAGAGGAACACCCAGTGTTGCTGACTGAGGCAGCCATGAATCCACACCAGAACCGAGAGAGAATGGTTGAAATCCTGTTTGATTCCTTTAATGTGCCTTTTTCCTATGTGGCAATGCAAGCTGTCTTAGCACTTTATTCTTCTGGGAGAACCACAGGTATATGGAATTTCAAAACTGTTGTTGCTGTGTTGAATTAACCTGAATGCTTGAGCCTTCAATGCTGTCGCATAATGGTAGAATATAACATTACACTTCTGATTTCCTCATACTGTATTTCCACTCTCTACCAAGAGAAAGTAGTTTCTCCCAATATCCTGGCCCACAATCCCAAAAACAAAATTGGTGATTCACTTTGTGGCTATTTGTGGGACTTTGCTATGTTCAAATTGGCTAACTCCTTCATCTACCAAATACATAGTCACAGACGTCTAGAAGACATGATAAAGTGCTATATCAAATACAAGGATTATTGTTGTACCTTATAGATTACCTTGTGAAGTGCTTTGAGATATCCTACTAATGTGAATGGTGCTACATCATATGTAAGGATTATTATTTTAGAATGGAGAAATTTAAAATGGTAGTAAGAGTCTCTTTCCTCATCCTTCATTACCACTTCTCTGGCAATGAGCACCATTGGCAGAGCTTCGGTTACAGAACCCTTTCTACCTAACAGCAACATGCATAGGAAAAAATAAATCCCTTACAGCAAAAAGATTGACAATCTGCATGAATGTGTGTGATCAGGGAAATTATTTGACTTGAGAATTGATTGTGGTAGAAACACTAATCAAGGAGGACAAGGAGGCAGAGGGAGCCCACATATTCAGAATGTCATTAGTGACTTTGACCAGGGCTGTTTCCGTGCTGTGGGCAGCGCGGAAGCCGGATTGGAGGGGTTCAAAAAGGGAATGGTGAGAAAGAAAGGAGCGGAGCTGGGACGCGAAGACTCGTTCCAGGACCTTGGAGAGGAATGGGAGGTTAGAGATGGGGCAGTAGCTGGAGAGGCGGGATGGGTCCAGGGATAATACTAAAGCTGGTCGAGAAATATTGCACACTGCGAAACATTGCTTCTATTAAAACTATTTTTTTATATTTCCTCACTAATGCAGAAACAAAAACGTTAATATGAACTTATTTAGAATGATGCATCAAGTCTTCACCCATTATCCATAAATAAACTGATTAGCTTCATTCTATTGAGGCAGACTTTACCCATAAGTGTGTGTTTCACTCTCATGATCATTGTGATAAGTTATGCCTTCATTAGCATGAGCCTAATCTGGTAGTGGGAGAGCCTGAGGGGCCCATCATACAGCGGTTGCTAATGTGCATTTGTTTGCAATAGGATTTTTCGTTTAAAAAAATAGGAATGGAAAGATGGTTATTTAAGTCCTTCAAGATATCTTACTTTTTCAATTGGAAGGTGTAATCTTGGACTCTGGAGATGGAGTCACCCACACTGTGCCAGTATATGAAGGATACAGCCTCCCTCATGCTATACAACGCTTAAATCTGGCTGGTCGAGACCTCACTGAATATCTTAAAAAGGTGGGTACACTTTTGTTTATTTTTGAAATGTATAAGGAACAAATGAGCAATCCTTTGCACACATTCAATTAGTATCTTGCTCTCAAAGATAGTTTCACCAAGTACCATGGCAGATGGAAACAATCCTTACTCTAAACATGGAATTGAATAAACTATTTCCAGTTCCTTTGATCTATTCTTTGCAGATGAGCTTGCATTTGATACAGTGTCTCAATTTCTTGAAGCGCATTAGTTTTTTGTGAAGTGCAGTGACTGTGTATTTGTAGGTGAATGTAGTAGCCAATGTCATGACAAGCAAATGGAAAAAATGTTCTACAAACAGCCATGACAGCCATTATTGGCCACTCTTTTTTGTGTGGGGGTGGTGAGGGAAGGGGGTGGTGGGGGTGTTGTGAGGAGAATGAATTGTTGACCAGGAATATTTGAAAGGAGAAACTGCTTTCTCTCTTTGAATAGGGTCATGGATTATTTTAATAAGTAGATGGGACCTTGATCGAATGTCTCATCAGAAGGAGCTAATTTGGAGGCTTCCTCAGCTCATGATTTCAGTTACGATTAAGAGTCTTGCCTTAAACCTTTTTCAGAATCTGATTGAAATGCAGGATTTCCAGGATGTTCTTTTAGTTTATTAGACTAAGGAAAACTATTCTTTTTTTAATATTGTTTTATTATATTTTGTATGTGGTGAGAGTAATTTTAGAATTCTGTGCTTGGGTGAACGTATGTACATTCTGTTCAGCAACCCCATGTTTTGCTCAGTTCTGAAGCTAACTCTTGTGTTACAGTTATTGAAAGAGAGGGGCTACTCATTTAACACTTCAGCTGAGCAGGAAATTGTCCGTGAAATCAAGGAGAAGCACTGTTGTGTGGCTTTGGACTTTGAAGAGGAACTGAGCAATTCTGAAAGATTTGGAAACTGGAACTTACACTATACACTACCGGATGGTCAAATCATTGCTATAGGCAATGAGCGATTCAGGTAACTATTGTGGATAGTGAGCCTAGCACAATGCAAACAGGCTATATTTTAGACCCAAGTCTCCAGCTTGAGTGCCCAGCCAGCAGCGTAAAGCACTCTGAGATATACTTGGAGGAGTCCTGTGGAGTCCTGTAGCTCAGTGGTTAGAGCACTCGCTTTGCAAGTGAGAGACATGAGTTCAATTCCAGGCAGATCGAAACCTTGGACAAGTTTCCTTACTCCACACGCCTAATAATGATCCCTCCAAAAAAAAACAATAATAAATTGGTTATTTTCAATCCATGACTGTTTGTGGGACATTGCTGTGCGCAATTGGCTGCCGCGTTCGCCCACAAATATACAGTCAATTCACTTTACATTATATTCTGTGAAGCGCTTTGGGACGTCTAGAAGACGTGAAAAGCGCTATATCAAATGCAAGGATTATTATTATTATTACTTGTGATGGGAGGCCGCTAAATAAATGTAAATTGGATGTGTCCCTCAGAGGGAGAGAGTATGCATTTGATTCCAACAATCTATGTTCATTTGCAGGTGAGATGCATGGAAATCTCAACTTGGTTTGGATACTCTTTAGTGTGTGATGGGTTTCCCCATGTATCACACCTGGCTGACCCCCCAGAAATGTAAATTATAGTGTGTGTATGTGCGCAAAATCTATGACACTTTTGACACGGAAGATGCATTGTGTTGTGTGGATGTTTGTGCTGATGAAGCATGTTAGGAGCATCATTGGAGAGCGGAAATGATTTGCCCATGTGGTTTCCTTGAATACTGATCTGCTGCCCTGAAGCATGGCAAAATGAGAGATGCTGAGTGAAGCAGAGAAATAAACTCCTGGACAGATGATGCTTGCGGGCTTCCTTGAAGTCCATTTCAAAGTGGCATTGACATCTCCCCAGACATCCATCTGCTCCTTTGTTAGTGAATATTGCATTTAGAGTGGAGCTTAAAAGGGGTCTCATGAGTAGCAAAAAGAAAATCAATTTTATTAGTGCAAAGTCTGTTCCAGTTGCTTGGTCTGAAGATGAAGCCAGTCTGAACCTGCATTCATTCCCAAGACTGCTAATAAAGTAACATCAAGGCCATAGAGGGGATGCAGAGGAAATTTACTTGGATGATACCAGGGATGAATGGTTTGGCCTATAAGCACAGATTGAAGGAATTGGGATTTGTTTCCTGTTGGAATAAAGAAGGTTGAGAGGTGACCTGATAGAGAGGTCTTAAAATTGAGGGCTTTTGATATCAACAGATAGAAATTATTTCCAATGGTTGTTGATTCAGTGACTAAGAGGACATCAATATAAGAATTAGCATATGAGCAAATGAGGAGGTTATACAATACAAATTTGCTTTTATACTCACATCTAAACTATATAATCTTGCATTTGATATAGCTCCTTATTATGCCTTCTAGACTTTTCAAAGCACGTCACAGAATGTACTGTAAAAGTGAATTTGACTTTTGTAGGCGAAACGTGGCAGCCAATTGTGCACAGCAGTGTCCCACAAACAATCGTGGGTTAAGTGACCATATTATTATTATTTTGTCTCAATGAACAGAGAATTTGAAATTTGTTTTTAAGCACAGTGTTAGGATATGGAATGCCCTGTCAGGAACCGTGTATAAGATGTAATGCAAAATAATTAGCTTTCAAAAAGGAACTAGATCAACAACACATTGTCAATAATGAGATAAATATCAAAAAAGGAGTAAATTACAGGTGTATGTAGAAAAGGCACGTAAACAGGATTGAAAGGATTGCTCTTATCACAGACGTGATGGGCCAAATGGCTGTCTTCTATGGTGTAACTTTCTATGGTTCTAACTTTGTTGGGATGAACAACTGGTTTTGTAACGAATTAATAATCTGATTCTGTCCTGCAATTTTGCATACCTTGCAAATGTGGAGAGAGGACACAACACACTGATTTGTAGATCAAAGTCAAAATTGATTCGCTTTATTGAATTGATTTCAAAAAGGTTAAAAGGAATGCATTCATACAAGATTAAACAAATAATTCTCTCAACTTCACTTGTATATAAAATAAATGGGCTCTGCTTTCCATAAAACCAAAGCCCTATGATGAGCTGAGGTTCTATTCAAAGTTTCAACATCCCATTTTTCTGGGGTTCAAAGCTAAACCAATGTCTTTGAACCTCTGATATGGAGAATTTTCAACATCTGGTTGAACATGCCAGAGGGAGAGCAGAAAGGGATGCTGGAGCCACATCAAAATGGGTATTCAAAGCCTTTGAACAGTTTAGAAAAAAATGTGTGATTTTTAAAAGACTGCAATTAAATAATATGAGGTACTTTTTCTCAGCAAAAACACAAACTGGACTCTATCACAGATCACACATTGTAATTACACACACACAAACAGGAAGGTTGTAATTGTACCCGCTTCATACCAGGGAGTTACTGCTGTATCCTGAAGATTTCAGCAAAGTATAAGAAACCAATTTTATTACGCTTGAATTAGTGTAACCACAGTGGTTAGAGCATTCACCTCGGAAGCGGGTTTGATTCCCGGCATTGCAAAATGTTGGGCAAGTTTCCTCACTCCACACGCTTGTTTACCTAGCAGTAAGCAGGAACCCAGTTGTTAGTCACTTCATTCCACGACTTTTTGTGGGACACTGCTGTGCACAATTGACTGCCACGTTTCGTCTACAAAATATACATTCAATTCACTTTACAGTATATTTTGTGAAGCGCTTTGAGACGTCTGTCAAATGTGAAAATTACTATTATTATATAAAACTGTTAGCTGATGAAAATAAAGAAAATGACAGCTACAGCCACTAGGTGGAGTGCAGACATTGGAGGAAAGTTTTAACGGGGTTCAACAAAGGTTTCTGCAAAAACCACAACTGGTGTATATTTCCTGGTGCTGCACGGATCTGTGACTAACACTCATTCGGATGAGATGTTAAACTGAGGACCCGTCTGCCTGACCAGGTGGACGTTAAAGATCTCATTGCACTATTCGAAAAGAGAAGGGAGTTTCTCCTGGTGTCCTGGCTAATAAACTCCCCCTGTTTGTGGGGATATTGGTATCCACAACTGGCTGCTGCATTTTGCCGATAAAATACACAGTGAATCCACTTTACAGTATATCCTGTGAAGCGCTTTGAGACGTCTCAACGATGTGATAACAACAACAACAAAATTACATTTGTAATACCCTCAAAGCAATACCCTACAAACATCACTACATTGAAGGACCAATTTTATCCAGGAGATTGTTGGCCAGGACGTAGATTTTCATAGAAATATAATTTTTTTAAATAGTCAAATGATTATTTGTGGAAGTAATTTGAGGTAATTAATATAGAAATATGCCAACACAATGTAAAAGCAATTCAGATTAAATTATTCGTAACAAGATGATAAATTCAGGTGGACATAAAGATCCGATGGCATTACCCAAAATGAAAAGGGAATTTCTCCTGGTATCCTAGCCAACAATCTCCATGATAAAATTGGTCATTCACTTCATGACTGTTTGAGGGACATTGTCGTGCACAATTTGCCTGCTGTGTTTGCCTACAAAACTACAGTCACTACATATTACAGTAAATTCTGTGAAATGCTTTGAGACGTCCTCCTAATATGAAAAGCACTGTTTCAAATACGGGTTATGATTTCCAGGCCTCAATGACTAAACGTATCATCTATCAGTCATTTCATCAGTCAGGGATGTTCTAAAATCCAATGCCCAGAACAATATGCTAATTGTTAATTAAATAATAATTAAACAGTCAATTCACTTTACAGTATATTCTGTGAAGCGCTTTGAGACGCCTAGAAGACGTGAAAAGCGCTGTATCAAATGCAAGGATTATTATATTATTATTGAGTCCTGCTGCAGAATGTATCTTAAAGACTCAGTTACTGTCCTGTTGTGGAAATATTACACAAAGTAGGAAATGCAGTGCTGTCCTTTAATGTTTATTGCTTAGTGAGCATGTTGTAAAAGTACAATTTTAATTCTTTCAGGGCTTCAGAGATTTTGTTTAGACCAGAAATTATTGGAAAAGATCACTATGGAATTCATGAGAGTCTTCTTCGCTCTATTATTCGCTGCGATATAGACTTGAGGAAAACCTTTGTTGGAAACATTATTCTCTCAGGTAAATATCAGAATTTTAAAATCTCATTGAATGTAATGAATAATCCTACAATAATCTTTCCAATTTGTATGTAGCACCTTTAATGTCAGGAGGACATCTCAAATCTCTTCACTGGATATACCATAAAGTTAAGTGTGTTTTTGTGAGTGAATGTGGCAGCCAATTTGCACATTGCAATGTTCCACAAATAATCATGAAGTGAAGAAACTATTTTACTTGGCCACGACACAGGGAGACCTGACTTCGCTTTTCGAATAGTGCCATGGGATCTTTAATGTGTACCTGACCAGGCAGACTAGACCTTGGTCTAATGGCTCTGAGCCAAGAGCGCTCCCAAATGAGCCAGGTTGAAACATGAGACATTTTATCTGGGCTGCACTGGCAAATTTAGGTAGGTCGACAGTAATCAAAGGCATTATTCATGTTTGACCAGCCTGTTGGTATAGAATAGAGGTGTAGGATTGTCCTCAACCTTGTGAGCAACATTCTATCTTGTAGACGGTGATCAGGGCCTTTCTTTTTGTCTTGTTTTTTCCCCCTGCTCAACTTCTTTGCTATCTGCTTTTTCCGCTCACCTGCTTCGCTGCCCATTCTATCTTGTAGGGTAGTCTTAGCACATCAAGTGCAGTGAAATATATCAGTACTTATGTAAACTTCTTGATTATCAAACCTGATCATTAGTTACAATGAATGCATCTTTAGTATTTGGTTTATATTTGTTTGCAAAAGGAAACCAGGAAAGGGATTACATCATTCAACCTTTACTACTGTTTATTGGATCATGACCAATTGTTTGATCCCATTTCCCCACCTTCCCTCTATATTCCTTACTTCCCAGGTATCTGTTGACCTCCCTTTTAAAATCCTAATCCAATCTGCATCCAAGCCTTTAATCCTTTTCTTTGGCAGTTACATAATCAAGGAGACGTTTACATTTTCAAACATGCAAACATTTTTGAACTTGGCTGCTGTGTTCGTCCACAGAATGCACATGGTCACCCCACTTTACAAAATATACTGGGAAGCGCTTTGAGATGTCTTGACAAAGTGATAAGGCGCTATATTAAATGCAAGAATTAATATATATATTACACCATGGTTAACCAACCTGCATTTTTTACTCTAGTTAGACAGAATAGATTGTGATTTTCTTTACTCAGGGTCTTTCTGGCTTGTGTGGCTGAACACCTTGCCCAGTATTAGTAGGGAATATAAGCAAAATATTTAAGAGATAGTACTCAGTTATTCCTTCTCCTTCCTCCATTTAACACGTGTTTTCTTCTAAGAGGCTCGATTGGAAAGCATAAGGAAAAATTTCACCAGTTTGTGTTTAAAATGTGTTTATTTCTTTAAGGTGGAAATACGATGCTGACTGGTTTACCTGCTCGAATACAAAAAGAAATCCGTTCCACTGTACCTCTGAACCTGTCCACACATGTGCATGTGGCAAGCCCAGAAAATCGGGACTTCACCGTGTGGAGTGGAGGAGCTGTCCTGGCAAGCTCACATGCCTTTCAGAGCGCCTGGATCAGCCGAGAGGAATACAGCGAATATGGTTCTAACATTGTTCATAGGAAGTGTTTTTAAATTATTGATGAACTTGTGGGGCAATTTTTTTATTGATGTTCAATGCAATACTTGTTCAGTATTATTTTAAAGCAATACTCCAGGATTATATATAAGGCTTGAATTATTTAATTACTACACAGGAATTCTTTTGTACTTTGAGTTGCTGGAATTCTGATCACAGCCATTATTTTTTCACCAAATCCCTTCTTGCAGTGAGGCTGGAGTCCTGAGTCTTAATAGTTCAGTACCTGGTGTAAGGGTCTTCCATCCTTCCCCAGTTAAACTTCATGGCCAAATGTAATTGCATGAGAATTGGTTACAGGGTCTGGACAATGGGAAGAAAACATTAACTAGGGTATTCTGCTTCTAATGCAACTATGCATCCCATAGTTAAATATGAGAATTAACTAATTTGGGCTCATGTGGAACCATAATCTCAGCAAGACTCCGTAACCTAAGGGAGAGAGGGAGTTCATGCAACTTAATATTATCGTCCTCGAAAGTTGCACAACACTAATTATGGAGGGAATCCCCTCTGAAAATAGGATTGTTTTTAATAAATCCAAATTGCATTTTGATTCCTCTAAGAACAGATATAAAACAAAACTATCTGACTATGTCATTCATTGCAATGTTAGAGGATGAAGAACAGTACTGTATCTAAGTCCAGAGTAGGAAATGGTAAAACCTGCTGACAACTAGTAGAGGGCTTGCAAGTGTGTTTTGAGGAAATGCATACTATTCCCAGCTGTAAGTAAAGGTAAGGTTTGAAAATTTTAGAATAAGACCATTGTAGAGCCTTAACTTCACAAGTTTCACCTAGTAATGTTCGATGCTTTAAGACTTTGTAATGCACTTGTTTACTCTCTGGCATATTTCCAGCTGCCACTTTCTATAAGATTGATGTAAAAGACTAGCCCAGTCTGTTTTGAGGGAAAAGCTGCTGTAAGTACTGCAGTGACTGCCGTGTTGGCAGCTATTCTCTTGCTCCAATCTACATTCCTACATCTGAACACGTGTTCCTCAGGAGATGATCATGATCATGAATGACTTAAAATCAAACATTGGACAAACTTCCAAGGAATCTGTTTTGAATCAGGAATCTATGTGGTACATTGGCATTAAGATGTGTGATTATTCAGATTATGACAACCGCTAACACTTATTAACACTTACTTACACTTGAAGCACAAGTGCAGGTAAGATACGTATAAATTATTAATTTTAAAGTATTTGTGAAGCTCTATTTCAGCCCTCTATTTTACTCCATGGACATTGTAATGTTGGGTTACCAGCAGACAGGTGGAATCCAAGGCAACTCATTGATTCACAATGTATATTTCAGTGAGTTCAATCTGTTTAGAGACAGGAGGTCAATGTAATCGAAGCAGATGGTTCCAGAGAGAATAAGGTTCACTATAGTTTTTTTTAATAGTTTTACTGTTTGAACTTGTGGACATCAAAATTATCTTAGTACTAACTTATAAAGTTGCTGTCCCTTTTTATTTGTATTTAATTTATTGTTTCACAGATCACAATTTTCTGTGTTCTTGTAGTATTACACATTTTTATTATTTGAGGATGAATCTATTCTTGTTTACTGAATCAATGAGGAGCATGAACTTTACTTTAAATTTAAACTTTACATATAGAATATTGATTTTAAAGTATTTGCATTCATGAAGCTCTTCTGTACTGTACTCCATACACATTGCAGCAAATGCCTGGGTTATATTACCTTTGCTTTAAATTGTGAACTTTGAAATTACTTTGATAAAGCTGCATTACTGTGCAATTGACAAATTCTAAATAAATATTTTTAAAAACCATGATTTCTGTATTGAGTATGTTTTTACTGTTCATCGGATTTTATTTAAAAACATAAAAGTTCCCATTGGACCTCAAAGTGATTTCCTTCATCATTTGTATAAAGGGGAAAAGGGTTTGGAATAGTGTCAGTGCATGCAGAGAACTTGAAATGCCATCATGTCAGGTAAGTGAGGCCTACAATGCATTTAGCAGGATTTTTGATAAAACAAATTACATTTATATAGCGCCTGTCATGTCGGAAGGAGGTCCCAAGGCCCTGGACAGTTAAGTGGTTGCAGGGTGTAAAAGCTGAAAATGCACAAAGAGCTGGAACAACATAACAGGATGAGCATGAACAGGATTAATTTTCTTTCTTGAATGTTTTAGGTTTCTACCCCCATCCCACCAACCCCCATCACCACACTGGGATGTTCTTTGAGCATCAAGTACTTCCAGCAGTCTTGCATTATAGCTGGACATAATCCCGTTCTCAGGGGTGGTGGATTGAAATTCCCATATATTTTAAACCATGGTCTTTAACTGTTGCTCAACCTCTCTGCTACCTTTGACAGTGACAAATCTATCCCTGATCACTTCTCTCCCATTCACTCCCATGAGTTCTAATCCTACTTTATCCATTGTCTCTACTTTTGTTTCCTCTAAGAGCTTCTAATGTGGAATCCTGCAGCTTAGTGGTTGGAGCACTTGCCTCGCAAGCAAGAGACCTGGGTTCGATTCCAGGCATGGCAAATGTTGGGCAAGTTTCCTCACTCCACATGCCTCTGTTTACCTAGCAGTAAGTATGAACCCGGTTGTTAATTGATTGGCGGATCACCTTTCCGGGGGTAATACCTTCAAAAAATAAAAATAATAATAAATTGGTCACTTAAATCCACCACTGTTTGTGGTACACTGCTGTGCGCAATTGATTTATTATTATTCTCCCCTTGCCATCATACAGTACATCTGGTCTACACTTGGTCCCCTCCTCATCTCCGTGCTGCCCCTGGCCACATCATTCACAAACATAGGTGAGTTTCCACATGTCCAGACAAATGGAATATTGAAATTGGTTAGGAATGTTAAATTTCTACACAACCTTGGTTAGACCACATTTGGAGTATTATGTGCAATTCTGGTCCTCATACTACAGCAAGGATATTGTAGCATTGGAGACAGTATATTTGAGGGGGGTAGGGGGTGGGATGGGGAAGATATGGAACTCTCTGCTGGAAGCTGAGGTTGAAATAAAAAGCATCAACTATGTAACAAGAAGGTTAATGCAAATGTGGGGGAGTAGAAAATAGAAGAGTGGGAGAGGGCATTAGGGGAGCTGGAGGCTCATGTGAAGTAACAACAAAATTACAGTTATAAAGTGTCTTTCACGTCGGGAGGATGTTCCAAGGTGCTGAAGTTGACTAGTTGGGCCAAATGGTCTCTTTTGTGCTGTAACATTCTATGTATTCTGATAACACCAAAATCTATCTCTACATCTATCATTGATTCAAGTACACTGATGCTCTGCCTGACTGCAGCCAGCTGAATGAACCTCAACTTGCTACTCATGGACTGAATAGAAGCCATCTTGCTTGGTTCCTGCCAACACCTCCTCCTGGCTCCAACTTTCTCAACCTTCCTGGCTTCTCTCTCAAACTCACTGAGCAAATGCGGAACCTTAGTGTTCGATTCAGTACGACATACTTTCCTACCTTACATCCAATCACTGACCAAGACCACTTTATTGCATCTTTACCACATTTCCAATCTCCATCCCTATCCCACATCTGATGCTGCTGAAGCTTTTGTCAACTCTAGACTGTTTTTCAAATGCTCTCTTTACTGGCCTACCCAGCTCTCCCATTCACAAGCTGCAACTCATCCAAAATTCCATTACCTACATCCTTACCCACATGAAACTTTGTATGCTTGTGGCTCCCATTCTCATCAAGTCACACTTGCTCGGACTTCAAGATTCTCATCCTCACCTACAAATTCCTTCATGATCTCAAACTCTTCTGCAAGCTCCCTCTGCTTGGAAAATGTGGGCCTGTTGCATGCCCCCACCCACATCCTCTGTCCCATTATGAGCAGCTGAGCCTTCAGACATTATGACCTCTCCCTCTGTTTCGCACCCTCTCTTTCTTTGTGGTTCTTTTTGGGACACTAAAGTGTGAAACTGCCTACAAATACACTCAGTACACTTCGTAGTAAGTGATTTCATCAAATACATTAATGAGTGTTCTCTTGAGCTAAAATAGCTCATTCGTGATCATCCAAGTAGACGTGGTTTGTGGAATATGTGAATGTAAGTGGCTTCACCTCAGCTGTGTAAAACCCAATTTTCATAGGTGACACATTGGTCAAGGCTGTAAAGGTATGTAGGAAATCCTTATTGATGCGGTCCATACTGTGATAGCCCAGGTCAGGCAACAGGCTTGGCAGAGCCTAACAGACCACGTGAACTGGATCATTACCACTGACAGTCTGTGATGGTTTACAATGCGGAATGCTTAAAACAGGCTGGTCCAACCATTTGGATGCTGAGGGCTGGATGCTCTATTTGAGAAATGTCCATGAGCCACATAAGCAAAATGTTGTGCTTCCCCTCCAGAAACATAACATAGCATTTCTGGGTTATGGAGAGAGTGGGTGGGCCAGATGAAATGGAGAGAATGGGGGAGGTGGGGGTGGGAGCAACAACAACAAAATTACATTTGTATAGTGTCTTTCACGTCGGGAGGACGCTCCAAGGCGTTGGACAGATGAAATGGAGAGAGTGGAAGCGCTGGATGAATCAGCCTTTGGGCCGGATGTGCCAGTTGGACCACCTTAGTTTCAAACATATTGTCAAGGCAAATATTACACTATGCATAAGGTTTTTTTAATGTATAAATATGTAACCTTTTGTCAAATACTATTTTTTGGAGAGGCTGGTACATATTTCACAATGCTTTAACAATAGATACTGTGTGAGTGTGATGGAAATGATAACGCTATGCAGGCTGTTGCAAAATATTTCCTTCCAGACAATTGGTGTTTGTGCAACCTGGATAGCAGCTGGTGCACCTGAAACTGTAAACCATTGACATTGAAGTGGCAGATTACGTCAATAAATGGGAATATCAAGTATGCTCTCTGTGAAACACAGGAGGTGTGTATGTAGTTTTCCTTCAACACTGCCTTCAAATGTATGCTGGAATAATGATTGAGGGAATTGCATGGTGTTTAAGTCGGACTATGTAATTCATGAAATTAAAAGAATGTTACACATGCCTCACCTGTGCCACAAAAAATACACGCTTGATGAGACTTCCAGGAATAAAATGTTCCAACACCTGCCAAGGACGCCCACTATTCAACAAGGAGTTTATTGAAAGCATGGGAGAGAGGGACAAAAACAGCTCATGCAGGATGGGTCTCAGAGCACGACACACAGAATAGAAATGTGAGAAAAATATTAATAACCCTTGCATTTGAAATAGTATCTTTCATGTTGGGAGGATGTCTCAAAGTGCTTTACAGTATAGTTTAGTTGGTAGTACTCTTACTTCTTAGTTAAAAGGTTGTGTGTTCAAATCCCACGTCGGGACCTGGTACCCATATACTCTAGGCTTACACTCCAATGTAATGCTGTGTTGTGCCGCATTGTTGGAAGTGCCATCTTTCGGATGAGAAGTTAAACCAAGGGCCTGTCTTCATGTTCTGCTGGATGTTAAAGATCCCATGGTATTATTCACAAAAAAGAAGGGAGTTTCTCATGGTGGCCTGACCAATAATCTTCATCTCCAAAAAATAAAACGTTGGACATTCACTTTATGGCTTTTTGTGAAACTTTGCAAATTGGCTGCTGTGTTCATCTGCAAATACAATAAAAATTACATTTGTATAAACCCTTTCACGTCGGGAGGATGTTCCAAGGCGCATGAATTAATGTTCACTCCACTTTACAGTATACTTTGTGAATCACTTCCTGACGTGGAAGGCGGTATCAAATGCAAGAATTATTCTATTATTTTACTTTCCAATGCTTAAGGAACCAAATGATAGTATATCCTGATAGTATATCCAAAAAAAGATTTTGTAACATCAGACTCGGGGAAATGAGGACTAAAATGTAAACTCTAGCAGCAGTTTAAAACATTTCACATTGTATCAACTCATAAATCAGTGGATCGATTATGAAAGCTATTTTGGTCCACTGACAGCCACATCTTAAACATGTTGTTGGGTTTCTGCAAGTGTCAGAACCCAGCTGACCAAAAAAAAATTCCAGCAGAAGTCAATGGATAGCAAATGGCAGTGGGGCCACTGGCTGATTTTTCTCTGCTGAACAATAACAACAAATTATGTTTGTATAGCGTCTTTCATGTTGGGAGGACGTCTCCATGCGTTGGAATTTCAGGGATTTGGACCCGAGCAGGGGGTTGGGATCAGGAAGAGTGAAGGGCAACTGCTGAGATCTGTTAGCTCAGACTGGGATTCAAAGCTGTAACTAGGGTGACCATATTTTGTAAACCAAATCTGGGGACACATACAAAAAAAATACAAAAAAAATGAACTCACTATAGTTTCTGATGCTGGCAGGACTGGAGAAGCTTGTTGGATTTAATGGCTGTATTTACCAACCCAAGCTGCTCCCTCTGAAAATGTTCCTGCTCCTACCCCCCACACTCCGCTACTCCCACTCTGTCCTTCTCTCCCACTGACCTCCTCGTCTTCTCTCTCTCCTGTACCCCACCATTATCTCCATCTGCCCAAGCCTGGGCATCTTCCACCAGGCCCATTGTGGCTCCCGGTGTTGGTTGTCCTAGAGCAGCCACCCCAACTGTCCCATCGCTCACTCTCTCTGCATCAACCGTGTCCAAAAGGCAAACACCCCTTCCCCCTCCCTCATCCATATCCTCTCCAATTCTCCCCACTTTTCAAACTCCACAGTCATTTATCCCCAAACCCCAAATCATCTCTATACCACTCTCTCCTCCATCCCCCTGCACCAGCAAACCTATCTGCATTTCCCTCCAAA